CCCAGAGGTTGTTTCAGGGTTCTATCTGTGAGTTAGCCATGCCCTGACTTTGATCAGCCCAGAGGTTGTTTCAGGGTTCGATCTGTGAGTTAGCCATACCCTGACGTGCCGTACACCAGCCCAGAGGTTGAGTACCGATAATATACTCGCTTGTATAACGACGCAAAAGTAACAGATTTATTCCATTTTAATATCTCTTTGTTTGAAAGGTTACCATAATTATCTCATTTTTTCAGCCCATGAAACGTCAGGAGAGAAAAGCTCACATGGAGAAAAACACCGACAAACACCTGAATCTGCTCTTATCAAAGGTACTTGCTTTATCATCATATCTAGATGGCTTACTCCCCGGGATGAGAAGCGGAAGCAAAAATGGTAAATTGATCCCAGGATTAAGAGAAATGCAAGATCAATTGTTCACTGAAATTACCACCTACAAGCAAGAGCTGGAAAGTAGAATACAGCAACTGGAGGGCAAAACAAACGCCTTAAGCTATGCCTCACTATCGCCTTCACCTTATGGCAACGGAGCTGGAGTAAGTGATTTAGTGCGACGTTTAGATAATAGCGATGCGAAAAGCGCCAGTCATGACCTGTTATTAAACGAAGCGCATGCTACTATAGCAGAATTAAGACAAGAATTAGCAAAAGCGAACCAAAAGGTAGAAAGAGCAGAAGAAAACGTTAGAAAACTAGAAAATCGCCTAGCAGAGCAAGAACAGCTTGCTGGGCTCCGTAACCTCGCAATCGCCGACCTCGAGGAAAAGTTCAAAGATAGTTTTGGTTGTAGCTACGATGGAATCATGTTGTTCAAGATCACTCAAGTCGCTAGGAAACGCGCTGATGCTGTAAGTGGACGCCAAATCTCATTCTACAGTCCTGCGTTCTACACCGATCCCCATGGATACAAGATGTGCGCGCGAATATACTTGAATGGGGATGGCATGGGCAAAGGATCGCATATTTCATTGTTTTTTGTGGTCATGCGTGGCGAGTACGATGCGCTCCTCCAATGGCCGTTCAGGCAGAAGGTTACGATGATGCTATTGGACCAAGACAACGAGGAACACGTGATCGACGCCTTCAGGCCCGACCCAAGCAGCAGCTCTTTTCAGAGACCAAGAGGAGAGATGAACATCGCTTCGGGGTGCCCTCTCTTTTGCCCCCACAGCGAACTACAAAGACATGCTTATATAAGAGACGATACTATGTTCGTAAAAATCATCGTCGACCGACCGGACTGGAAATGACATTCCTGAAGGCGACTGTTACAGATATTTGCTGTTGCTCTGGCTTTCAGCTGTTGATTTTTTCGACTTGGTTTACGGCACTAAAGCAATTGCTTAATACGCTTGCTGAAGCACTTGTCTTAATATTTCGTTTTCAAGAGAGTGTTATAAAACTGGTTTTGGTCCAGTTGTCTCGCATTGATTTCTTAGTGAAGTTTGTTCACACGAGGTGTCTCACTTTGACTACCCAGGCGAACAAACCCCTTCTCGGCAAATTCCATCCAAATGTTTGGATTTTGCATTTTTGGATTTTACGGTTGTGGATACCTAGGTAGACCTCATGTAATATCTCAGCTCTAAAGCTTTTACAGTTTTATAATTGACGTATATTATGAGAGGTTTGCTTAGGAATAAGCTAACAGAATCGCAGTCAATCGACACGTTGCAAACTGAAAAAATTGTTGCAAATTGTACGTCTGATTAACGTCGTCGATGGCATAAGAATTACGGGGGACTGAAATGGATATATGGATGCCCGTGGTTTTTGATGTTTGAATTGAAATAAGCCATTTGCATGATAAAGACATTCTAATACCATTACCAAAGTGCTTCGCAAAGTCCGCAAAGGATTTTGGTAGTTGTTAATRACGTTTATGAATCAAAATCCCAGAACTACAATTAGCCATAATGCGAATGTGCTATTGCAGGGAGAAGTAACGTAGGAAAACTTGTGTTGACCTTTACTCTTTTTTTTCGTTTTACATACACCTACTTGCAAGAACGTTAGAAAATAGAACATTAGTTATTTAGTGGGATAGGGATTATATTACTGCGATTCCCAGTCACACGCGACCAACTAGACCTTCATCAAAAACGAAAAATGGAATTTGGGTGGACGTCAATCAAAAGGGTTTCTATCGTTTCTATTGGTTTCTACACCAGGACTGATGTGAATACTCACGTGAACACGTGCAAATGTGCAAAAAYCKTTGTCYTTATCTCATGCTTCTTGTCGCTGTGAATTTCTCACTCTGGATATATTTTCTCAAAAATGTCACAGGATTCCGGCTCCGAATCTTAACGCTTGATTGCAAAGCTATCGCTATGGCTATGATTTGAGTTTCTTCAAGATAGGATAAGTCAATACTGACAGTTTGCAGTCAAACGTTTGAAATTCGGAGTCGGAATCCTTAGGCATGTTTAAGAAACCCTTTTGATTGACGTCCACCAAAACTCAAATTTTCGTTTGTGATTTTGGTCTCACTTGGTCGCGTGTGACTTGGAATCGCAGTGAAAAAAACAAAAGAAGATCACTGAAGCTGAACTTTTTCGTTTGTCTTTTAATGGAATCCTTACTCACTAAATTACTAATGTTCTATTCTTGTATGACAACCTTCTTGCAAGTAGGTGTATCTGACGTCTTACATATCTGAACATTATAATTCAAAATTAGGATTATAGTATATTGAATATCTTATCTAAATAAATACTATATTAGTATTATTATCTAGGCATTGTTTTTGAACAACTCAATTTCGAATGAGTTCCGATCCCTCGAGGAATGGATGGCAAAAAATCTTTAAAATTCTAATTATTAACTATCAATTTTTAATTTTTAAGATGTTTCTCGTAGATTTTGTCGCAAGAAACGTTTAGAATCAGATCTTTTGCCATCCAACTTCAGTCTGTAGACAGCTTTATATATTGAAGAAATATAAAACCTGCGCGCGTGAATCCTGCATAACCTCCTCCTTGGGCTTCCTGTGGCGAGGACAAAAATGCTCTCTTCATCTCTTGTTCCTATTTCTTCTCTGCCATAAAATATAACACAGGGATCCCAACAGAGAATATATGGGGTAGCCTGAGGATACAGTTAACTTTTGCAAATGATTTGCTCTTGAAAACCTTTGCAGATGAGTATGTAGTACAACACAGCGGTATTTTTTGAAAATGAAAAGAGATTATTAGACTAAAGTGATACTGTTACTAGTTCATCATCTTTCAATTTTCGTTTCGACTTTTAATCTTGGAGTAGTTTTAGTATTAGTTAAAAAGATTTTGTTTCCATTGTTTTGTTTAATGTCTGCAGTATGATTGATCATTAGATATTATGGAGTGAATTTTTGTCTCGCTATTTCTGAATATGAAAAATACTTCAAGCGATAGGTTAATAAAAATGTCACTTATAGCTTTATCGATATTTAATATTATATTTGCATTAAGTAGTTTTAATAAGCTAATAGCATGGTTCTTTCGGGATCTTGGTTCTTTAGGGATCTTGGTAACTAAATGTTTCTTTATCGATATTTAATATTATATTTGCATTAAGTAGTTTTAATAAGCTAATAGCATGGTTCTTTCGGGATCTTGGTTCTTTAGGGATCTTGGTAACTAAATGTTTCCCTCTGCCACGGATGAGTTTAAAAAAAGGCCCTCGCTTACAACGTCGGGATTCCCGGCAGCGTTACATCGGCTTTCAAATTTTTTCGGGACATTTTTCAAATCACTAATATCCCTCAGAACCATGCTATTACGGCTTATAATTATGATGTTATTATTCACTACTAGTAGTTGGTTTTATTTAGCTGAATAAAAGGATTATAAGATATTCATCTCTTGATGTTGAGCAGATAATTGATTGGTCGTTCGGAATGTTCCCAAATGACGTAAAATGTGTTTAAACAATGGTGACACTAACGTCTGCGCATGCATGCCATCACTTTATCTCAATCTCGTCCCCAGAGCCTGCGTTTCTTCTGGGCTGCGGCGAAGAACGAGGGCTCTGGCATAATCCCTTTTTTTGGTGCATGCGCAATGGTCCGGAAGTGAAATATAATCAACGAAAATCTTGCTTTAAAAAAAGTTCTGTGTTTACTTCCATTCAAAATAAAAATTAGAAATCTGGAACAAGGAAAAATCTGGAAAGTCTTTGAACGCATGCGCTGTTATACCGGAACTGAGTCCAAGAAATCTTGGCTTAAAAGAATGGATTATGCCAGAGCAACCGTTCTTCGCCGCAGGCCAGAAGAAACGCAGGCTCTGGGTACGAGACTGCACTTTTTCTAAGAATATTCAAAATAAATGTTCCTTTTTTTTCTCCGAATATACGAAACATTTCGTGAGTATACTTTTGTGAGACCAAGATACCGTATTAAAGAATTAGCCTTACGTTTCAAGCACTAACTCTGAGATTTAGGCCCCGTCCACACGTATCCGGAAATTTTTGTATCCGCAAATTATGTTTTGCGGATACGAAAATGTTTGCGTCCACACGCAGCGTATTCGAATCGTTTTCACCGTCCACACGTATGTTATGGGATGGACCGCTCTCGGTACGAGCTACGGGATCTTTATTCTACTATCTCTTCTTCTATACTCTATCTCTACTCTTCTGACTAAAACTAATTACATGAGCTCTATTTATAACAACTTCATGACAGGTGTCATTCTACAATCAATATGATATCATCGCTGTGCCTTGATTGGCTAATGGAAATAGTAATTTCCTAAGTGTGATATCTTATTAAGAATAATACGAGTGAAAATCATAGAACTAACCATAACTTAAACCAAAGATAATTCATGAATATATGGTAAATGTATAGAAAGTTCTACGAGGGATATTTATATCATAAGATTTAAAAGAATAGTGGTAAAATAACTAAGCAAAGTGGTAAAGAGTGTTTAGGGTGTAACCAGAGGTGTACATGCTAATGGGAGGAGCTAAGTGGTTTACTTGTAAATTCAAAGCATACCATTATCTAAACTTGCGTGATGGTAGCCTTACTGAAATCTTATATCGATATTTTCAATAAATAATTGATCGTTCTTTATCTTGTTTTCATACGATAAGAAATAGTAATTAGAAAAACTGATGTCTAGCTTAGTCTGTAAAAACATTAACTTTCTCTCTCATAACACGTATCCGTTTTCGTAAAATTTGCGGATACGGACACAAATATTTGCGGACACGTGCAGAAGCAACCCGTATCCATAAAAAAAAAATTTCGGATACAAAAAATTCCCGATACGTGTGGACCGTGCCTTAACAAGCTTGAAAGTCGAGTAGACCACTTGCAGCACGTCGGAATGCAGCTCAATTTGAAGGACATAACAATAGGTTTCCAATTCTTAGGAGATTGAAATTCTTTTGTTTTGTCCTCTAAATTGAGCTGCTTCGATGTCACATGCGTATCAAGACTTTCTGTAAACCACTGATTGTGATCAACTAATTTGCAAACGAACTACGAACATGCGCAGACGTTTTTCACCCTTGTCGTTTAGCTCTGACTCAAATCTGACTTGATGAGCAACGCGGTACTCCCCAGTACCGACAAACTGAAACAATCTGATCGTTTTGACACCTTCCTTGAAGAGAGGAATCCGGAAACGAGTGAGCATTATATAGTTATTTGTTGTGGTGCAAATGTTTCCCATTACAGACCATGTGTCGGTCCTAGAGAATGATGATGATGATAATGATAATGATAATGATAATAATAATAATAATAATAATATAATGATATAATAATAATAATATAATAATAAGCTTTATTTAACGTGGTCAATGGACTTAGCTTAATAGGATTCTTTGTTTGAGTTGCATCCATTTTCGTGTGTCTTCTCATGCGCAACTGTTAAACAAAGAAACGATACTATAGGGAATGACACGTGGCCTGAAATGAGAAAACATTGCACCACGAACGAATAAGGTCTGTAGACCTCTTAGCTTGGGCGTAGTGCTTACCCATTTTAATTTTAAACCACGTATCACGTATTAACGTATTAACCAATAAAAAATGGTTAATTAGACGGGGAAAGGTGATAACAGATAAATGTTGTACTAAATATCCCAAACGAAAGAAAATTTCGCCTAAATTCCTATCATTCTTGCCCATGTAAACAAGCTGTGACGTCATAATGTTTTAGGTCAATTAATCTAACTCAATTGCTTTCCTTTTTCAGATCACGTGCACTTGATTTCTTTCTTTACCAGCAACGCTTCAGTTTACAGGAAGCAATATTGATGACATTGAACTGACTGTCTTTCTTTACCAGCAACGCTTCAGTTTACAGGAAGCAATATTGATGACATTGAACTGACTGACGAAGGTACGAAACGTTAAATGCTTAATATCTAATATGAGTAAGTAGATTTGCCCATTATAACTGAATATATTTTTATACCACGCTTGCTTCCACTTTTTTGTAATCACCGTGACTATTCAAAGGGAACGAGCAATGTCAAACGTAAATCCTGTACCTTTTTCAGATCTGAGACTTAGCGCATGCWCATATTGAAATTAAGTTTTGGGTTGTATGACGTGTATTGACGATAAATCATGACCAAAGCCTTTACGAAATATTTATTTATGTGTCACAAGAAATTAGATCACGCGCCAATCCCTTGCATATGATTTCTTTGTCTATACCCACGAGACGACAGGATACGGTATAAATGCTTCGGTAAACTTTATTCTTATTCTATATTCTTACAAAACTAAATTTGCACT